TCACACGACACCGTGTACGCAGCAGACACCACAGCTCGTTGAAGATGACCCGCAGCTTGCAACATCTAAAGCTAAGCCACAAGGAGACATTAATATGCGGCAGACACGGTCAGGAAGGCGAGTTCATCTTCCAGACCGCTTGGTGTATCACACAACTTGACAGTATCATCTTGTTCTGCTGATCACTTGCTAGTACCGATTGCTGACAGTTTCCTCCTGTTTGTTGTCCTTCAGATTCCGCCAGGATGCAACGGAACATCTCGCACAAGGAAGAAGCGGATAATCCAGTCTAGACAAATCTAACATCCGTGCATATACCATCCTGCACTGCTCCCAAATCTTTCATTATACATTACACAGGGAATATTAGCCTGCATGCCTCCCATTTCATGCGACACTGAACCTGGTAGAGGTCAGTTTTTACCGGATATTTCCACCGCGTTTTTTACTCCTGCTCGCGTGAACATCGTGCGACTAGCACACTGGTGGGGAGGTATGTAGTGTACCTATTACATTTTACTACACAACGTTCCGGTCAGCTGATAACATCACCAGCTGTATCGACTATTCTTTAAAACACCTCATACACTTCATCATCGACCAACATTCCTTTTTGAATCGCCGGCTGACTCTAGACCACCTCGTGTACAACATCTGGGAGCCCCAAAATATAATCATGCGAATACACGTTTTCAATCCCATTTGGCATCCAAGAATGACGGGTTATTAATCCAGGAACTCCGCAACCTAAAAAACGTTGCCACAGTACGTGTTGACTAAAATACTATAAGTGAAGACGATAAGTGGATAGGATAGGTTTATTGCAGAAGACTGAATCATACAGTTTACTATGGCTGTTCCTATTGGGAACGGCCTCGTGCTTAGCATATACTCGAACGTTTCTGTCAGTCTATTGTACTTTTCGAACAGTATAGCTTGGGTCTTAAATTATGAGATGACCATACGCGTCACGCAGAACCAGAGAGTCTGGCCTACTGTGTTGCAGCCGCATTTCACTTGGTGTCAAGTTTACATGTTTAGGCCAAAAATAATTAGAGCAATTGAAACATGTAAGTCCCATTTTGGAAATTTTAATTCATGCACCACGCTTGCGTTTAGGCTCCGTCGAGCGACCGCTGATACCCAGGATGCGTGAGTAATTCGCTGACGATAAGTACACTGTTGAAGAAAAACGAACTGTCCATGGCTTAATCAACATTCGGGTCCGATCAAGTTGGATACGCATGATTAATCGTTGAAATCCCCATCACACTACTCTGTACTTGACAAGTACTGTGTAACTAGTCCCTGGGTACGGGCAAATGTAGTACTAAATTTCCTGAAGCGTAAATAGCAATTGCTTGATCAATGAGGACTATGGAGTTGGTGTGCACGTTATGAACAGCAGTACGCTAGACGGGGATTCCGGTACTGCCCCTTCCGTTGATTCACCCGTCTTCACGTGGCCGGCGTTTTGGAGCTCGGGAAAATCATTCATCACGTGTGCATTACAGTCAGAGATAAGAGAGGCTAAATATGGAAACTAAACGAAGGGTGCTATTCTGTTCAGTTTAAAAGTGCTCGACGGGCTTGCGCTTTAAAGCTAGATAGTTTGACATTCGTGACTGTCTCGTTACGCGACTGGGTTGGACACAAGCACGACAGTTGTTCAGACCTAGACCGCTCACCATTCATGACTAGGTCCCCTCATGTGGTTGGTCAATTGAGCTTTTGCATCCCGGTTGCTCAGCTTTGTCGGTTTTCCAGTACAGCTCGTTCTGCACGGTGATGTTCTTGCTTCCCGTTCGGAGTGGGCTCAGTTAAAGTCAGGCGTTATAATATCTTCTGTGTACTTTTAGTTTCATTCGGATCCTCTCTTCCATAGCCTTACAGATGTGACGGGAGTAGTGAACCAAGTACACGAGGTTCTCCATCGCTTGATTGAACGTCTGTTTTGGTGATAAAGGCTCATACTATCGGTTTCACTGGCAACCTAATTGTCAACACCGCCGATGCATACGCTTTACTCAATTTACCTACATGAATGCAGGGTCTGACGTAAAGTTCATTTGTGGGGTTGATCGAACCGGATTACAGTGTGAGCAAGTGCGGTAAAGTTTATACCTTCTGATTGTCCGTGGGCTGTTCCACAGCAGCAAATGAAACTACTTCCGTAAATTTGGAATGGCATGGTCAACCAGTTCGATGAGCTGGCTGTTCACTCGGTGGCTGTGTGTAGCGCCACAACGATATCGTGAAATCGGATTCCAAAGAATACATTCTCCGCCGTTAACTGTATAGAATGAACCGCACACAAATTTAACAGCCGTTCATTCCACATTTGGTGCTATTCTTCGACGTAGCATGTTCTATCAAATGAACATCAGGGTCAAATTAGGCAGGTAACTGGAATCGTTTAAAAGCGAGTGTTAATGCGTATTAATTCGAGATATCCCCAAAACGAGAGAAGACGGTCCTTGTAAACACCCCTAGTATCAATATCGTAAAGCATCGAACATTTGCAAACCGTGCCATCTCAGGCAATGATGCGAAATGACGTAAGCAGCTGGTCGACGTAGATGTTATCGTAGAAATGTACAGTTGGTTGTCGAGAGTAGGAGTGTAGACAAATATGCGAAGCTGAATAAAAGTCAATAGATAACATGCATACGGGACCCATTTGAGACTTAATTAAGGAGTTGTTTCAATGTTTTTCGGATAAAAGTGTGCAATCTTGCCAATGTCAAATCATGTGCTTCATCCCGTTCTTTGTATGCTGTGCAGCACGATTCTTTATCATCCGCGTCAAAATGCACATCTAAAATAGTTGCAGTGTGAACAAACTGAGACACGCAATCTCAATCGGGACCACAGTCGGCTTTGAAGGGAACCTCGGTCATTCGGTTGATGGGCCCGCATCAGAAGCCGATAAATACTGCAGGTTACCTATCCGCAGCTAGGCACCTCCAAACTCGTTTCGTAATCACCCACTGGCACGCATCAGACAGGGATAGCAGAATTACGATCCGAATTCAGCCGAAAGCTACACCCCTAGGCCACCGAGCGGGAAACGCTTATCGCTGTCTCGAACTCGGGACGTCAGACGAAGCCGCATGAGTAAGTCAAGGTTTTTTATTATTGGGTCTTGGAGTACCTGCTGTGGGTCGGGATTGCGACACGCAATCTCGATTGAGGATACGGTTTGCTTTGAAGCATACCTATGTCATTTCGACCACTGGGACCGCATCCGAAGTGAAAAGTTACGGAGCTGCTTTCTCCCAACACTGCATTCCACGACCGACTGGTGTCGTCCTAATTCGGACTTGTCAAGTAGAGACAGTTTGAGCTGGAAGGGGAGCCCATCCTGGTCACCAGGCTAGAGCTCCACAGCAGCGCTTGACAAAGCGGTTAGTTCATTATTGGGTGTTGGAATATCCGCCGTATGTTTGGATTGCAACAAGCAATCTGCATGAAGACTACAGTTTGCTTTGAAGCAAACCCATGACATTTCGATCATTAGGACCGCATCCGAAGTCAAGGTTTTATCCCGCCAATGGGAGCCAAGTTCATGGGTGTGCGCATGCAGGAGGTCGATTCACCTATTAAACGTGAGTCAATGGAATGATCTCTGAAGTTGGTTACATGTTGTCGTCTGCGTAAAACTCACTCAATTCATAATTCTTGATGAAGCATCTTTCAAATGTTGTAACGTGACAACACACTCTCACCTAGCGCGTAAACCGTCTGTCCGATCTCGACGAGTGTATCAATTGATAACTCAGACGATAATGCCGAGGTGAACGAGGGCACAACGGAGTGCTGGCCCTATGGTGCTTTAGATCCGATTGTTGAATGTGTGTGTGTGGGTTGTCATACGCGAGCAGCAGGAGAGTAGAACCTGCGCACTACAACAGCTAAAGTAACCGCAAGAAGCCAGTTTGGTGGCCATCAGGCAAAGGTGACATATTAGTGATCTAGTTACACTGGTCAATGCAAAGCTCACAAAATGTATGCTCGTTAGACGTGCACTTTCAAGTATGGATGAGATATTTGTTCCCATAAGGCTCACTTGGTAGGAAAGCGAAATAATGTGAAGGTATCTCATTGGACACTTGTCTTGGGAGAGGAATCACGATCTGAAAGCGGCACAGTCACGTGATGAAGTGATAGATTTAACAGATTGCTTCGATTCGATCGACGAAGAAGGGTATGACGTTATTCAGAATAACGGTGAAAAAGGGGGGACGTGATAGATATGTTGCGTCTGCCGGGTAGGCACAGTTTCACAAAGCAGAGAAGACCCATCGGCGATCGCCTTGGATACATTGCATTTGGATATACTAAGTCACATAACAGATTTCCAGAGAGAAACATCAACGGCACCACGGTAGGTTGCGCCGATGCTCGGCTGTCATGCAGCCCCCAAGAGACTGTGAAGTTCCCCGCATCTACATAGGCTTGAACCGACGATCTGTGCAATGTAGGCTATATGAGTGAGCCATTGGGTCCCAGAAGTAACTTTCCCGATTTAGTCAGGTACCTAAAAAGAAATCCACAGTACAAAGCACCGGCACCACGACCAGTCGTGCGTGGACTAGAAATACCGCGAAAGTCGCCCGGTCCCCTACGCAGGTTCGAACCCGCTACATCAGGTTTACAAAGCAGACTTGTGATCCTTTAGGCCACATCCCCATAGAGTGTTGTACGTTAGCACAACCTGGCCTCTTCACACCTATGATGCAGATCGACTGTTTTCCTCCAACAAAGCTTCTTAGAGTACAAGGCCCGCTGTTATAACGCTGGTTCTCTAATTGCACCGCATTCGACGACTTCTACACCTGGTTAGAACGAGATTGCTCATTGCAACAAAGCCACTACGTGAAACGCTTTCCGCGAAATTCGAATGCTACACAATGAGACCTGTGTGAACCAAAGGGACCCACGACTTGTAAACACGCCATGAGCGTCATGGAGACAGTAAGCAAACACAAGGCTTGGTTGCATAGTCCACAGAGATGCCAAACCAGCATCTGCCATCATTCGAGCAAAACATGTGCGCTGAATGACTAAAACACAATCCAAGCCGAAGTGGGCACTTTCAGAGAAAAACCGCATCCAATGTCTAGCTTACATGAATGGAGTTACTGTCGGCCATATAGAAGGATTAGAGGGACAGAGTCGGGTCATCAAATACAAATCATTACAAGTTGTGAGAGAGCAGAGTGGCCATTTTACAATAAAGCACTGCGACCATGAACAGGTGAACGAGTAGAACAAGGAGGGGAGAAAGAGACAGTGGCACGCAACGAGTTGATAAAATAGGCAAGCCTGTGCACAGAAAGTGAAGCACTGGCCTTTAGTCAAACTAGCTGATCGGACTAAACAGCCCGGAACATACGCGAAAACCAAATTGCTGAATTGGTTGTAAAGAGAACAAAGAAACAACATCACACTAAAAACCAAGGAAAGTTCATTTCCGAAAAACTTTACATAGTGTGGCATACCACGATGCGAAGTGGCAGAGAGAGAGAGAACAGCGGAACGCCAGGACAGAGTGCAACACAGCCAGAGAGAATGCGTAGTGTGTGTGTGTGTGTGGGCTCTTCGGGAACGGCCGAAGCGAGAGGTGAATTGGTGACCGTCGCACACGCACGTTTCCATAAGCTCCAAGGAGAAAAACATGCGTGTTGATGCGGGGTTAGAAGTAGGGGTTTGGAAGAGCCAAATGCGAGAGCGTAGCGTAAAATAACATGCGGTGCGCGTACGTACATTTTCTTGATGTGTACACTTATATGTAGCTATATATATAACTGGGCAGCGTGCGTGCCATCAGGTCTACTGAGCACGGAACAGTATAATAGAAGGACGAGCGCAACACCGAGCCTCATCAGGCAACGCGTGGTGACTGAGCGGCACGTGGCGGCTGTGGTTGTGCGGTCTGGTTGATCCCGTGATACTGGTACTTGGCCTTCTTCTCCGACGGTTTGAGAACCTGGGGCACGGGAAAGAAAACGAACGATTGGTGAACAGATAGAAGGAGGACGTAATCTACCATGTGTAGTTTAAAGACTCGAGTGACTGCGCAACATGGAAGTCTGATCGATTATATAACCGCGAACGCGTGAAAAGACTCTTGGTGTTCATGCCGTACTACATTCTTTTCTCCATACCACGTTATACCTGATATTGATGACATGTAACCAGATGCCGGAGTGCTCTCTTACCTTACGTGCCAACTTTCTGACAGGGCACAGGGTATCGCGAGCCAACTCTCGCAGTGGCTGGCGGTACAACTAAGCATTGACGCTGCTTTGTTTGAAATTCGATCGACATGTGTCGTTTGATTAGATTGCAACGTTACCACGTACCGCCTTGGGTTAATCCCTTAGTGGCTTGAGCCGTAACACGATTGTGCGCGTACGAAACAATGTTAACAGACGCAGTTTTACATATGTTCACAGTCAATTGCAACCACAACGCCATCAAATTCCTCCTTAAATAGCTTGTACAGCAAGCAGATCGTATCGTGTGTGCGCGCGCGAAACTGCGCGGGTACGGTTCGTTGAGTGGTCAATCTCAAAGCGACTTATAGCATTGCAGACGAGGATACAACACGAAATCCCCGGATAGCTATTAAACCCAAACGCAGCAGCAGCATCGTGGTGTGGGGCGCAGATCGACCGCGATTTGGGAGTGTCTAAAAAGTAAGGGCATTAGCAATACGCCGGCATACTATACTGACGCTTCGCTGCCAGGAGATCACAACCAGTCGCGCATGGAATGGGCATACCGCGATGTCGCCCGTATCGAAGTGGATTCTAGAACCGGTGACCGTCAGATTACAAAGCAGGCGCCCAATCCTTTCAGTCACCGGTCTGGGAGATGTCTAACCGCGTTCGACACTCAAAGTCAGCAACGACTGGTCATGTTAAAGATAGTTCCAAGTAAGCCAGGGGACGTGATGGCCAAACTCACATGGTACGACCGTGATTATCAGCGACTGCGTACAATCGTGAGTAGGTGGTAGTTAAGAACGTTGTACGTAGTGCTGCGGACACTAGTCTGTGAAATATTCTATGCACGTGCCGTTTCCTCGCGCGCCAGCATTAGAAAGTGCGAGCAGTACATGGGACTCCAGATAATAGTGAGTGTGGCCGAATTACTTGTCACCTGACGTTGCAAAGCCCCGCTGGCCCGAATGATGAGGCGACCATTGATATTGGCACAAGAATGCATGATGTGCCGCAGTAGCCCATGCGAGATGACTGCTCCAAAAGCGAAACAGGTTAGGGATTAGCGACAGTTTGCACTTATTTGCCTGTATGAAATAGCGGCAGCTCGCATACTGCGGATTGGCGCGGCGCCTACGTGAGGGCGACTGACATGTCAGTCGGTTCACCCTAAATGCTAAAGGTTTTATGGTGAATATCGCAACCTTAAGTCATAACTATTCATTGTCCGTCATGAAATGGTTTATCGGATGAGGTAAGCGGACGTGTCCGCTTTCCTCACCGCCCTCTTCTCTCGCAAAATTTCTCAACCTGAAAGGCCAAACCACTGTAATCAAGGGAACAACGCCACAGTTCCTGCCCACGGTAGCCCCTCCCGTATGTCTTTCGTTTCCGTGAGATCTATGGCATACAATCCCCTAACTAACAGCCGGCTAAACGTGATCCGCCATCACAGTTGATACGAATCATAACCAGTCTTGAGGATCTCTGGAGGTCGGGCGGTCGGGCGGTTTAGGTCACCAAATACTATGATAGTCACATCGTTTCAGAGCGCCCAGACTCTGTGTACATCGGAAGGCTGCCCAGACGAGGACAACGCGCAAATTTTGTGTAGTGGATATCTAAGATGATTAATTACAGAAAGACCTAAACCCACATCCATGACGTGCGGAAAGGAAGAACAGGAATTCTTTATTAAGAGGAAGCTTTCGAAGCTATTCAGATGTTGCCAAGAGGGGAAAAAGTGTGATTTAACAAGGATGTCAAAGTTCCAGCTGACAGCGGTTAGTTTGTAGAACTGATTCCCAGCGGATAGGAAGATGATCAATTTCATCTACAGTGACTGTGAACGCATGTATATAAACCAAGATTATAGGGAATTGAGTAAGAGGATAGAAGACGAGGAGCATGTCTCGGCCGCCGAGAAACGGTCCTACTGACGCTGACCCGTCATGAGATTTGGATAGAATATGGATAGTTAAGAGCAAGACAGATGGTTAAGTGCCGAGACAATGAAGACCATCAATCGTAGATGCACCTCTCAAGTTAACAATCTGAATGCGAGTGGTCATTGTGCAGGACATACAAGGTAACTGTGGTTGAACACAGTACTCATATATATATATATATATATATATATATATATATATATATATATATATATATATATATATATATGTATGTATATATATATATATGGTTGGCAGTATCCGATTTCGGATTTGCCTGTCAATGTGGCCAGCCATGGGTGGCTTGCGCAGCACCACCCACACACCCCATATCCAGTGTATACCCGAAGGAATAAGAACGGGAGGCATGTGGATGGGATCCACGTTTCATCAACGGAGCCGGCCCACACTCCTTCACAGGCAAACACAAGCACGATGTAGTTAAGGAATCAAGTGCACAAAAGGCGGTGGGTGGACCGTAGTCCGTTCCACACTGAGTGCATGGAACCACTCTTTGATCCTAACACGGCCACAAGGACCGTGCAAACTGTCCCCTCCAGCAACGACCACTGTCTCCTAGAGCCAGTACGGACGAGGTAGTGGGTAATAGACAGGTACGCACCTTGTCAACATGTACATCAAGCGCAGCCACACCGGGGATATCAAGCCTATGGTACGCTGAGGCTGGTTGTGGTTAGATCCTGACAGATGACTTACCCACTGCTGCTACTGTTGTGCCATTGGCTCATGTCCTGGACGCCTCCTCGTGGCGACCGCTGGGTGGGAGTTGGGTTTCGCCCTTCTCCCTGCTAAGATCCAGGACACTAATCTGCATGAGTCAGTGAACTGACCATATGCTAGACCTTCTGCCTTTCGGGTGTACAATTAATCCAAGGCTTTGGCTGAGGACACGAGTCGTTCTCCTGTCAGGTGTGGGCGCCCTGCCAGTATCCTAGTCCATCTTCTTCGGAGATTAGGAAGTGGTCGATGGCCCACTTCCCGTAAAACCTAGCCTTGGGAGACAACAGGTCTATGGGTTATAAGCTCAAAGCTCGATTAATGCAGAGCACAAGTGCCACGCATTGTCTCTGAAGGTGGGAGGACACCTCCAGGTGTTCAATGGTTTGCTACTGCCCGCCTCAAGCCAAACAGCCACTTGTCAAATTGGTGCAAACCCGCCAAAACCCACCTGCGTCTGGCTGTGGTCGCAGGTGCGTATCCTAATACGGTCGCAAAACAGATATGAATGGTTCCAGTATCTCAAAGGCTGCGTGTGACGACCGTCAAGCAGATCCCAATGTCTCAGCAATCACATTCCAGAGCTGGATCTGCTCCCCACTGCCTTGTAGGTAAGGCTATTGAGCCAAAGGCTCCGGGTGGAGTCCCTCAAACAAACCTCAGAAGCACAACGACTACCTCGCGTGCGATTGCCCACCAATGCAAGCGTATAAGTGCGCGCAAAGCACTCAGTATCGGGTACTGGAACGTGTGCACACTACTGAACCGAAACTCCAGTGAGCCCCCAGAGCGACGCACTGTACTGGTCGCGATGGAGCTGGCGCGTTACCTCATCGATATTGCGGCACTCAGTCAGATTCGGCTCGCTGGGCATCGGCGCGTGAGCTCGTTGCAAGAAGCATGTGCTTGCTACACATTCTACTGGGTGGGCAACGCCGCCTCAGCACCGCATGAACATGGGGCCGGATTTGCAATATCCGATCGCCTCCATGGCCAATTGGTGGGTGAACCAACTGGCATCAGTGCGCGACTGATGACTGTTCGCCTACGACTCGGAAGAGGTAAGTTTGCTACTTTTATAAGCACGTACGGTCCATGTGTTATCCTGATGACACGCGTGATCAATTCTACACTGAGCTATTCTCCGTGATACGGTCTGTGCCGAGGAGCGACCGACTATTTCTGCTGGGTGATTTCAACGCGCGCGTTGGGCGTGATGCATCAGCGTGGACAGATGTTATTGGTCCGCATGGCATGGGTTCAGCGAATGCGAACGGTGACAGGCTGCTCTCACTGTGTGCCACTCACGGCCTGACGATCACGGACACTCGGTTTGCAATCAGTGTGAGTGATATAGCAACTTGGACGCACCCACGGAGTGGTCACGCTCACCTGCTCGACTATGTCATCGTACGTCAGCGTGATATGCGTGAAGCGCGCATGACACTTGTACTGCGTGGAGATGAGTATGGCACTGCTTATAACTTGGTGCGGACCAAGCAGTATATATAGTTTCGTAAATCTATGTATTGCACTCCTGCAGTGAACCTGCGTAAATTTAACATTCTCTCCCTCGGTACTGGGGCGAAACGCACTGAGCTGGAGAAGGTGATGGCTGCACGCCTGTGTGATGTGGACTGCATAGTCAGAGTGGGCGACCTGTGGCACCACATTCGCGACCAGGTGACAGCTGCTGGCGAGGAGACCATCGGACGCGCAAACTGTAAGCGGCCTGGTTGGTTTGATGACAACAACGCGACGATAGGTGCATTAGTGTCGGGGAAGGATGCAGCACTTGCTGCACATATCGCAGACCCCAGTGACTTGGGGAAGAAGGGTCAGTTCCGCAAACTTCGACGGCGACTGACGCGAGAGCTCAGTCGCATAAAAAATGCATGGTGGACGGAGAAGGCGAAGCAGATGGAATGCCACGCCGAACGCTGCCAACACAAGGAATTCTTTGACTCGTTGAAGGCGGTGTATAGATCGAGATTGAAGCCGCTGATCGATGGTAGTTCAGGCGCTACCTGCACCCAGACTGCAGACATAATGCAGATCTAGCGATAACACTTTGA